TCACAGGTCAGGACCTTTTTTACCGTTTTCTACCAGAAGACGTTTTTAGACACACGACACTGTCGTCGGCAGAAACTTCGTGTTCAACAGGTGACTTAAACTTACCCCTGGCTTCGAACCAAATAATACAGGCAGGGATAGTATTACCTTTGAACAAAAACATTTTTCGTCTTTCTCTTTGGGCTCGCCGTAAATCATTCTACAAGACCATGCTTCGTTTCTATCGGCTAGATGCCCCACAGCAGTCCAGAACATTTACCAGCGGTCAATTCAATGTTTACCGAACATTCTTTATAACTCTGAACCTGTACATTAAAAATATGCATAATCACTTACAACTTAAAATATCCACAGTGAGTACTCCTTTCTATCTGTGCGCACATTCTTTTCCGGAACTGTATAAGACTTTCTTTTCCCGCCTTTGGCCATCTTGTATTTCTATTTTGGCGCGGAACACTTTTCATTGATCCCTACCTTGGGATGAGTTACTCGTTACTGTTTAATTAAAGTTTTGTTTACTCATGTTTTATAAACAGATGTCTTTGTCATTTTTATTTCGGCTATCTTAATACCATTTAAATTATGCACTTGTTGATTGACCCCTTTCCTCATTGTTCATTCACGCATTTTACTTATTTTTACTTTGCTTGTAGACTCGGTAGTTTAGTGTGGTGTCTGGCACAAGGCCACTCAGTATAATCCAGCACTGCACCCTACCGGGTCCGCAACAGAACAGTTAAATGTATTAGAATCCATTATATTATGTAGGATTATTTTAACATTAAGTTTAAGTATGTATATGAGGTTACATTTTTTTTTTTTTTTTTATATGACTATTCAAATAGACAGGTTTGCGAAATGGTTAATTATAATTTCACTGATTCAATTTATAGAAGGCTAAACTTTTCTTTTAAATATATAAAAATAAAATTAGGGTTTTAGCCTATTTTAAAAAAATTTTAATTTTAAATAAAATTTTTACCGTTAACAATTTTTTTTTTTTTTAATTCTGTCTTCCTTAATCAGGTTTCAAAATAAATACATCCTGTTTTCTCTCCTCATTTAATTTACTGTCATATAAAATCTAGACACCCGTGTTCATTTCTTATGATTTTACAACCAATTTGGTTCGCCTGAAGAAAATGAACTAATGCTTATTAATTTAAATGGGCTAGGGTTTTTGCATTGCCATGGTCTGTGTTGGGGTAAATATTTTAAAACAAAAAAAAAATAAAAAAAAAAAACAAAAACATTCTATGGTATATAAAATATAAATATCTATAAGAACACCGGATTTATATCTTACTGTTCTTTCTTTTGCACGCCCCCATATATATATATATAAATATATATATATTGTGTGTATGTCAACGTTATGAAAAAATTTAATATTATATATATATTATTTAATAAACATATATATATATATATGAAATTTGTCGCAGAGAATTCCTTGTTCCTAGTGCGTGCAAATTGCCTTCCTTGGGGTGAATGGTCTTATATATATATATATATATATATATATATATATATATATATATATTGTGCATCAGCGTTGACGTGGCATCTCCCATAGCTGTATCGTAACTTTCCCATGCCGAATTCAATCAATCATGCTTGATTAAATTCGACCGATAAGATTTGTCTCTTTAACTTTTAATTATATTTTTACTGTCTAGAAGTTGTTGCCCAAATTACTAATATGCCTAATAAAATTTAAATATACTCTACAGTTCAAATGTTTCAGGCAACCCCTGGTAACTTTTTAAATTGGCTCCAAAAGTAGTTGTTTTGTACTTTAAATAGAAGAAAAGTATCATACATCGTTAAAAAAAAAAGTGAGATATGATTTTATATTAGAAATTTTATTATGACAAAAAAAGCATATTATGAATAGATTTTTCACTCGTCAAAATATCCACCTTTAACCTTGATTATTGCAGCATATTTTTGGGCATTCGTTGTTTAAGTTTCTCAAAGCATAAGTTTTTTTAATGACTCTAAGAGCTCGTTTTCATTCGTCTTTTTCCAATCTTCTGTCAAGATACTCCCATTCTAATTCTGGGTGTCTTCAAACTTTTGAACTGTAGTGTATATGTATATCATAATCCGGATAAATTGAATTATCTCCCTCTATCTAGGACCGCTTTTTAAACTGTGTATATTTAAATTGCCGATAAAATATTTAATAATATATCTTTCCTTTGTTGCTGCCGACTTCTCTGAAACCGGTCAATTTCATAACGTCATTTTACGATATAAGGATACTTAGATTTGATATATAGCTTTAATAAAATGTCATGGCTGACGCTAACAAGAACTGTATGCCATTGAAAAACTTAACATTTTCTGTTAAATATTGTGATGACAAAAGAAAAAGGTGTAATAATTTTCAGAATATTCCTTGACGGTCCTATTAAAAAAACGACTAAAACAAGGATTGCTGTTCAAATATATATATATATATATATATATATATATATATATATATATATATATATATATAAAAGTTGAAAATTAAAAAAATAGTAATGTTTTTGAAAGTATTTATTTATTTATATATATATATTTGATATTACAGATTGACTCAAGAAATCTGAAGAAAGATTGAGGTCAATCTGAAATATCAAATATATATATAAATAAATAAATACTTTCATAAAAAATATTTTTTAATTTGCAACTTTTATATATATATATTTATATATATATATATATATATATATATAATTTATTCGAAAATTATAACATAAATATGTTATAAAATCATTACAAAAATAGCCATTTTGTTTCAACACTTCGGAATCTTATCAAGTGATGATGTTGAATGCTCAATGTAGAATAGGGTTTATACTACATGTAGAATAAATGGTGTATTCATGAGTTGATTTGATGTTATAATTCTACATTCAACACCATCACTTGATAAGATTCCGGAAGTATTGAAACAAAATGGCAATTTTTGTAGTGAGTTTATAACATAGTTTTTATTTATAACATCTTTTTCTGGTACCAGGGTTGTAGCAACAGACACTTTAAGTGCTGCAGTTCGTGTTGCCGAAATTCCGCTAAACAAACATGAATTCTCAGTGGGGTTGTTTTCTGCATTTGGTGCCATATTCTTCATGTCCTGAAACTATTCTGTTACAAATGGTGCAACACTGCAGATTGTCTCGCTAAAGGATGCCATCGGAATGCTTCACTGATGCTTAGCGACATATTGTTTCTATGCTGAAAGTTGCCAAAACCATCACACTATTTCCACTGGCTTTCTCCTAGTAAATCCTGGAATCATTGTTTCTCTTTAATAGCAATTCACGGAACTTTAGTATCAGCTTCATTCAGGAGAAAGCAACATTTTTGGATCATGATGTTTTTTCATTGAAACTAACAATCCCAATGTATTTGATTGAAATTGACTATTATGGACACTCTGACTATTAGTAGCAGATGTATACATAAACGATCATAAAACTATGTGTTAGGACGCGTTGCTTTCTTAATATTTATTAAATCTAACTGAAATTTCTGCCGCTGTCGTCAGTGTTTAATTAGCAGAGTGTCGGTTGTGTTTAATTAAATGGGAGGAAAGTTTTCGCTTACTTCCCTAAGCGATCAACATTGGCAACTTTCTGCCTTGAATTTTACCCATAACAATTTGATTTTTTTTAAGTCACTCAATTTTTTCTTCCTTATCATAAATGCATTATTCAACAGATGTAGATGAAGTACTGTGTACTGCTCACCTGCCTATATGCCTCAGACTCTGAGGCGTGCATGTGTGTGGAATAATTAATTGTATATTGTCACATTTTAGCAATATAGTTCTCTCGTGTTTGTCATATGTTACAGGCTATGATATCATGGCTCACATATATGTATATGTAAGCAAACCCACAAAGAGACATACACAGAAGTATGATCAAGTAATGCTTAAGAAAGATTTGTTTTGATTCATTCATTTTAAAGGCTTACCATTGCAAATTATTTAAAGCCAGAAAATATTTTTACATTGTAAGAATTTTTTGGTGGCAGAGAAGAGATGATAACGATTTAGTGATAGAAGTCTCATAATTGAGGAATCGGAGAGCCGAGTTCGAATTCCAATCGAATCCATTACATTCATTTACGTGCTAATAACCTTGCGAAAGATATGAATCCTCTTCTTCTCCCCTCACCCAACTATAAGTAACAGGACAGACCAGGTTCTGTAGTGATTTTCAAGCATAGCTTAGATGTGGTACAAGGCCGAAATTAGGGGGGCACCCAGTGAGAATCGAACTCACTACCCAGTCGTAATTGTTCTAGCGAGATAAGCTTGCTAACCATTACACCACTTCGAGGTGCCCCTATTTTCCAAGCGTAGTTTAGATGTGGCACAAGGCCGAAAGTAGTGAGTACCCTGTGAGAACTGAACTCACCACTCAGTCGTAATTGTTCTAGTGAGACAAACTTGCTAACCATTACACCGCCCACAGACCAGGTTCTATAGTGGATGGCAACTGGTCTATCGTAGAAAGAAATGGCAACTTACTGCGGGAAAAAAATCTGCCTCGTATCGAAAGATACATGATCGCCTAAGCGTATACCACGTATGGCACATAATTGACTAACTGATAGAAGTCATACTAATTAACCCGTAGCTGGAGTTAGAAAAAGGGGCTTCATACCTTTCCCAATGGTATTTGTACGTAAGTGAATATAACGAACCCAGGTGGAACTGGAAATCGAATCTCCATTGTGATTATCCATTACACCACATGCAACTCCAGGCTTACATCACCTGGTATTCCCAAGCAGTTACCCATCTAGTTACTGACCAGGCTCGATGTTGCTTTACTTCGGTGATCGTACGGGAACCTGTGTTTTATGGCTGTGAACCTTCAACGGTTTATGATAAAATTATTGATATGAAATTTACGAACAATATTAGAGTGAATTTATGAAAAAATATTTTGATGTTGAATTTTTTTTATTTTGTTATCAACATTTTGGTCTCAACAAGCGGTCACTCATCTAGGTACTGAACAGGTACAACGTTGCTTGACTTCAGTGATCGTACGGAAACAGGTGTTTCAACGGGCTGTGGTCGTAAGTCATTTTAAGAAAAGAGAGAGAAAGCGAGATTTCAGGCTTTAGTTGTATATTTAAAATTCGAGCCCTTAAATAACTGATTCGAATTATTCGTTGCCTGTTCAAAAGCATTTACCATTAAAATTCACAATATAAAAAAAAAAGGTAAAAAGGCTTTAATTATTAACCCGTGGCGAAATAAAGCCGAAACTATTGAATGTTTCGGTAAAATATAAAAAAGAAAGATTACAGTTCTATATCTATGACTACTACCCATCCATCATGGAAGATCTACTGTTGTCCGCTATTAGGAAAGAACTACTGCCATATTTCTGACCAAGAAGTAAATATAAAAAGATAAGCATAAAAACCAATTCTATACCACGACGGAAGTGTATGGACTAAGTGAAATAATCCAGACTTTTGCCTATCCATTGTGAACTTGTAGATATACTGTTACTATGGAGACTTAAATTCATCTAAAAAAAACAAAAAAAAAACGAACAAAAAAACAAAAACAACGGTATATACAGAGACGACGGGATAATACTCCTTCGTAAACTGAGAAATGATCTATCTAAATTCTTTAAGGACAATAAACTAAACATTACCACCATTACAAACGCTAAAGTGATCAATTTTCTAGACGTTAAATTTGACCTGAGTCATACAATCTCCTACAAAGGTCGTCAGAAAATCTAACTACCATAAAAGGATCCTTGACAATTTACTTACTATATTATTTATAATTTATAAATTTTCCCCTACTCTAATAAACTCTCTTTCCTTCAATCCTTACATACCTTTATGATATATATTTTAAAATTATTTTTAAATCTATATTTAAATCCATTTTTATTCCTCTCATAGTTTTAAATTAATATTTCATTCTTCATATAACCACAACTTAATGGCATAGGGTTAATATTCGGGTTTAATTTGATAAAACTTCTTCCCATTAAAACAAATACCTTCTACCCTTCCCCTGACCCCTTCCTCGTGCATTTAGTCTGACTGAAAAATTGAAATGGATAAATTGTGTATTATTTTTTGACCGTTTTTTTTTTTTAGTTTTCACAGTTAAATTTCTATTCCTGACACGAACTCAATCCTTACGACATATTTTTGTCCTACGAAATAAGCTTATGAGGTGATTTTTGATTTTATTGTTTATAAAATTGTTGTCATGACAAGCAGAGGTCAATCCACGTATCTCAAAATGAAAGGTAGAAATGATCCTCGCATGATTTGCATCATCAAATGGATCACTACACGCTGTCTTCGATATGGAAACTTCATAGAAGGTTTAGACGTCATCAGCTGACTTCTTATCATTACATTATTCATGGGAGCGCTAACGACATTGATGCACATAGCTTAGCGGTTGTAACGTAACTAAGGACTTGTAATTCGCTTCCTTTTTCCTTTCATAGCTGGAAGTACGCGGACATTATTCAAGCAATCGTTCTATTCACATGGTTTCGGTTCTCTGTAATCAAAGCATTAGGGAATTAGGGTAATTTTTCAGGTTTCAAAGCTAGGCATTGCCTCCAATGATATCCGATGGTAATATAAGGGCTTAATGAACTAAACCGATGGAAAGTTTATTCAAAGGACAAGTGAAATAAAAAGGACTTGAGTAAAACAGTGTTTAAGTCCCTTTATTTCCAAATAGTTGTGTGGCTGAAATCTTGACGAGCATTGGTAAAAATATCATGTAAATAAAATATAAATGAGACAAGAAAAATATAATATATCTAGATAAAAATTTGCTCAAACTAATCTTCCTATGCCCTCCTGTCTGTGCTAGTCTATTGCTAGACTAAGATACGCTTTATAAGTACTTAGTAAATAATTCCAATGATAATAATTGTATATATATATATATATATATATATATATATATATATATATATATATATATATATATATATATATATATATATACACACTGTTCGATAAAAGTGACTCACCTGATGTTTTTTACTAAATTAAACTTATGGATCATGTTGCTCAACTACTTTCTTGAGAACCTGTACTTTATAATGCCCCATAAGTTTTCTATGGGGTTGAAGTCAGGAGATTGGGGCGGTCATGTCATAACACTCACCTGCTTCTCATCAAAGTATTCCTTCATCAATTTTGATTTGTGACAGGGAGCATTATCTTTCATAAAAATGAGCTTGGTGGGGTCGATTTGCACCCTTTCAGCAGAAGAGAGCAGACAAGACTCTAAAATTCTCTTGTACTGCTCGCTCCTGAGTGTCTTTTCAATAGGTTTTAAGAAACCAGTTCCATGAAAAGAAAAGCATCCCCAGAACATTATATTGAACGGATGCTTGACAGTACTTACTGCTAAATTCAAAGAGCTTTCAAAGCTTCTTCTTCGGATTTTAGATCGCTTATCCTTTGAATTTAGCTCAACTTTCATTTCATCGGGGAAGAGAACATTTAGTAAAAAAATCAGGTGAGTCACTTTTATCGAACAGCACTGTATATCTGTGTGTTTGTGTGTGTGCACGCGTGTGCATGTGTGTATATTTACGCTAGCGTACCACCACTACAAGGTTCAATAACCACTTAACTAACTTAGGGTTAGTAAATGAGGTTATTTTCTGTACATAAGAGGAGGAGAAAGAGATAAGACTTGTAAATTATGAGGACATGTAAGATAGAAAACGATTGATCCTCTCCCTGACGAGGTTAAGTGATGTGGGAAGAACCGTCTCGGGAGTCTCTTACAAAAAAGAAATGCCTCTTGGGATGAAGCTGTTCGAATGAGGTGGGGGTCGCTGTTTAAACGGATGGCAGATCTCAGTTGTAACGGTTTGAACTGGTGGAACTAAGGAATGCACATCGTATGAACATTTTCCATGGAAATAGCGATGGGCTTGTGACGTTGCTTCTGTCGTAAAGGGGTTGTAGGGTTGAAAAGGCCGATGCGACGAGTAACAAGGCCGCGTAAACGCTTTTGAACTCCATCAAGTCTGCAAAGAGAGGATTGGGCAGCTACACTCAGATATGGAATCAATACTGCTTTTTTTGATCTGATCTGACTCTTGTAAAGACAGAGCATGGCAGATGGATGGAGGTATTTTTTTAGAGCGGTATAAGAAGCCAATCATTTTAAAGAAAGAAGGAGAGGGGGAAGAGAGGAAAGATACAGTGTGGATATCGAAATTAACACTGCATAGTGACAGACAATTTTTACTATCTTTGCACTTTGAGTGTGTTGCAGTCTCCTTTTTCCGCCTGTGTATAGGCTACAAATATCTTGAATTTTCTGGTAAACTAATTTTCTAACGACGGTTTTTCAAGACAAGTGCCGCGATCAAAACATAGCATCTTTTTACTTATCGTTTCTACTTAAATATATATATTAAAATACATCAATCGTCTCTTTTCAGACAAAATGATCATTTTGTTCGCTCTCTCAGTATTTTAGGAGTTATGTGAGTGAATTTTTCCATTTTATACTCACTACATTCGCTCTTTCACCATTTTGCTCAAACTAATCTTCCTATGCCCCCCTGTCTGTGCTAGTCTATTGCTAGACTAAGATACGCTTTATAAGTACTTAGCAACGATAAACACGTGCATATAAGACGCTAGGAGCGAAAATCGCACCGCATCTCATGACGTCACACATGACCATGCGAGAGTGAATTGGAGAAGTATGAAGTATGGGAAACCATTTGATATTATTTGTGTTTATACCAATTGCTTCCCATACTTCATGTTTATCGTTGCTTAGAAATCATCTATGTAAACAATGACAGACTATCATCACTGTCTTGTCCGTATATTGCTTAATATGTTGTAATTGACATCTTTGATAATGGCTTATGTAAGCCGAAAGCTTAGATTGGATTAAAAAAGATTAAAAAATATGGATCAATATTGTGAATTTCTTTCTTCGTTCATTGAAATTGTTATTAAACTTATTAGATGTTATGAAAAGAGTTTACATAAAATAAATCGACAACACTTGTCTATATTATTTAATGAAACGTGTATGAATATATATATATATATATATATATATATATATATATATAATAATGAGAGAAAAATGATAAAAACTGTATGCATAATATAAATATTATACATTGTATTACCGCAAATATATTACTGAATATCAGAAAGAAATTCTTCGTTAGTTATCAGGAGGAAATTGTTCTGGAAGAATAGCGATCGTGTATTATTTCTGCCATTTTGTGAGGCTTCGTCAGTTCATTTGCTTGCTACTGACGATTATCTTGATATTACCATTGACAGAAATTAATGAGATTTTAATAGTGCCAATGTCTCTGACGTTATTTCTTATTAGATAATATTTTCAAATGTCATGAATAATGTGATTTTGTTCATTTACTTTTTAAAAGTTACAATGATGATCTTACAGTGGCAAAGTTATTAATTAGTTGAAATAATTAGACATTGACAAGCGGAAGTTTTTAATTGGATGTAGCTAAAATTCTAATGAGTCTTTCGATTTTTCAAGTTTATTGTACATGACGGGGTCATGTATGAAATATTCCTAATAATCTGAAAACGCTATGAAAATCAGTAAAAGCGACAGAAGAGCAAAAGCTTCTTTTAGTCTAAATTAAGAGATTCTGCAAAATGTTTTCATTTAGGAAATTTAGCAATCAACACGAGTGAAAGAAATGAGCGAAATAAAGGGAGATAATCATGTTAACAACGCAAAATATGTGACAGAAAATCAATATAATATTTGATTATGCTAATGATGTAGTGGAAATAGAATTTTCTGTTATTTTAGGATTCACATTAAAATCGCCTCTATTGATTTACTTATACATGTTTTAAATGATTATTTTCGATTTTATTTATACCCTCTTAGAGATGATATTAATTGTGTTTCCAACAAGTATTGCTCTCACTATAAGAAGTGTATTTGCATACTTTTTTGGCATAAGATGACAATTGGGGGGGAAAAAAATACTTTGTTTTTTGCCGATGCGTTTCGCCTTCCGACTTTTTCAAGACAAAAATAA